AGTCGCCATTCAGCCACGATGACGTTATGCAGGTAGATCACGTTGCCTAGCTTCAACTCCATCTCTTTCTCTCCACGGGTTTACGCTGACCGGTGGCTGTTACCAAGTTAATGCGTTCTCGGTTGTATGCGGAGTCCCCAAGGAACTGACTTTTTTTTTTTTTATTCTGGTTTTATTTAGGGATTTTTGTTCGTTAACATGTCAATCCCATTAAAGCTAACTTAAAATCTATACATTTGTTATTAACCTGCACATACTTAATGCAATATCCGAGGTGAGGGCATGTAGGATGCTCTGAGAAACACCTATTTTGTACACATTTATATTATATGTTCTTACAAATAATTCCCTTGCACCTCGGTTGCGCTCACATTCCATTAAAAAATGATGTATGTCTTCAATTACTCCACAAATTTCACAGTTAGGTGAATCAGCTCTTTTCATCAAGTAAGAAATTTTTTTTGATGGAATGTGACCTGCTCTTAATCTAAATATTAATTTAATAGTATTTCTGTTTAATTTGGTATCCATAAACCAAGGTACTCGAGGCGGTTCACTCTGTATCGTTTTATACCAAATACCTTTCGTTTTAGAACGTTCATTGAAAAATTCTTTCCATTTATTATAACATAATTTTTTTATTTTTGGTTGGCATACCATTTATGCAAGCAGAATTCGCTAATCTATCCGCCTCCTCGTTACCCAATAAACCAATGTGTGCTGGAATCCATTGCACCCTTACACCGATGCCGCATAGACTGAACTGATTTATTTGCGAAAGTATGTCATAGGCTATCGAATCACCTCTCATTCCAGAGGCGGATCGAGCCAAATGTTGGATAGCAGTTTTGCTGTCCGAGTAAATGATAATTTTGTTCCAGTTATAGCTTGCGGCATATCTTAAGGCTTCGGATATTGCAATGAGTTCAAGGGTCATAATACAAACGTCATTTGTAACTTTATATGATCTAGAAATTGCTTGAGATGGGTCAAGAAAAGCTGCCCCTTGCAACTTAGCACTCTTTGATCCGTCTGTATAGATTTTATGCCAATCGTGATATTTATTGTCAAGTTCTTTGATAATATTGACTTTAAGAGAATTTATTTCATAGAATTTTTTAGATTGTGTAACAAACTCTAATTCACTTAATATTATATTTTCAATATCAATGCGAGACAGCCAAGTGTTAAGCGAAAATGATTCGAGAAAAGGAGATGAATGTATTTTCATAACTTTAATCTTATTGTAAGATTTAACTAAGAGTGGGATTTTCTTGCGTTGCCAATATCTTGTTTCACAGAGACTGCTAAGCTGCTTCAACAAATCAATTGAAATATTATTCGAAAAAGAGCTGGCTTTTAAAACATATTTATAAGCTAGATATAATCTTCTAATATACAATGGAGGTACACTAAGTTCGCTTTCCATTACATGTATTGGAGAGCTTTTGATAAAACCACCAATAACCCTTAACGATTTATTTTGTATTTTATCTAATTTTGATAAGTGGACATTAGCACAATTATCAAATAAAAAACTACCGTAATCGATTCTACTTCTTATTAACGAAAAATACAGCTGACGAATATGTTTAGGATGAACTCCCCACGATGACCCAGATATTACCATTAGTATATTTAAAAACTTATTACATTTTTCTGTAATCTCATTAATGTGTTTGTTCCAGAGTAGGTTACTATCTAGCCACAACCCCAAATATTTAAAGCAATTTAAGGAAGTCAGTGAGCGTTCGTTAACTGTTACCTTAGGCAGGACTCGTCTACGTCCTCGACTAAACAGGCATAACTTTGTTTTTTCAGTTGACAGCTGTAAACCTAGATCGTTTAATATTTCTACTATACAATATAACGCGTTTTTGATCTTTGACTCGCAAATTTTTAAATCTTTGTCTTTTATATAAATAACAAAGTCATCAGCATATTGAATAATATTTACGTTGTGTTGTGATATTAAATGGCAGACTCTGTAAGTCGCTATATTGAATAGGAAAGGGGATATTGGGTCTCCTTGTGCTAATCCTTTATTTGTGCTTCTTTTAAGTACTTTATTTTCAATTTGAGATTTTACCAGTAAATTTCTTTTGCTTAGGAATGACCACAAATATGTACAAAACCTACTACCAACTTGTAGGTTATCTAATATTTTTAAGACACTATTTATATCAACATTATTGTAAGCATTTTCAATATCCAAAAAGCAAGCTAAAGTGGGCATATTTTGTGTAAATCCCATTTGTATAAATGTTACCAAGCGAGAGTGACAGTCTAAGCAAGATTGTGATTTCCTAAATCCAATTGTCGATGGCGAAAATACGCAATTTTTTTCAATGAACCATTCTAGTCGTTTGAGCATCATAATGTGGAAAGTTTTACAAAGACATGACACTAAGGAAATTGGTCTCAGCTTAACATCAGAATTAGATGGGCCACTATTTTTTGGTATAGGTATAACCAGCACATTACGCCACTGACTTGGTATATTTCCAGACCTGAACACAAGGTTATAAAGAATTAAAAGAAATTTTTTGGCGATATCGGGAAGATTATATATCATACTATATGTGATTTCGTCATCTCCTGGAGCAGTATCTTTTTTTTTTAAGACAACTTTTCAATTCTGCCATTGTAAAATCAGTCTCTAATGAAGGATTTTTAGACATAAAATTGGGACATACGTCGGTAGCAGTATCCGGTGTGAGTGAAAGTAGAAGCTTTTCTTGCTGATCTAATGGAATGAATGATTTTTGTTTACGAATACCCTTCATCCATCGCATGCGCTGCCACATGTTTGATATTGAAGTTTCTCCATCTATCGAATCGCAAAAGTTCTGCCAATATTTACGTCTTGCATCTACTATAAGTTTACTAGCTTCTTTAGTTTTTACTTCTAAGTGAGTCAAATTGTTGGGAGTTGGATTACGTCTAAAATTCAGAAGGGCTAATCTTCTTTGAGCAACTGCTCTAGACAGGGCAGGGTTCCAATAATTTCGGGGTTTAAATTTTGTTGCTGGATCAATGCGTACTTTTATAGTAGGTATACTAGCATCAGCCGCTTTATCAAGTTGAGAAAGTAGAAAGTTATACATTTCTTGAATACATGTTTCATCATATATATCAATATCTAATAAATCATCGCTAAAGGATTCTTTAATTATATTAGTATATGCTACCCAATCAATTTTCTTAAAATTACGTTTCTGAATGCCATTATAGTGTTTTGGGATTTTAGTACTTAATTTAATTAATAGATGATCGCTGCCTAGATTTTCATTGAGCACCTTCCAATCGAAATTTATAGCAATATCATTTGATACAAAAGAAACATCTGGGGAAGTTTCTTGTAAAAACCCATTGACAAGTTTAACTCTTGTTGGCATTCCATTATTAAGAGAAAAATAACCATGTTCTACCGATGCGTCTACTAATTGCACCCCTCGTGCATCGTTTTTGTACGACCAATTGCTGTGGTGCCCATTAAAATCACCTGCTATTAACGATTTTTTTGGGAAGAGGGAAAATAGCTCCTCCCATTCTGATACCTGAGTTCTAACTGAAGATGGACAATAGATTGATATAATATTTTGTAAGAAATCACAATTGTGCAATTTAACACATACGGTTTCTATGCTTGGGATAGTTAATCGAATTATACTTATTACGCTTTGAAGTGAGTTTGGTAAAACGATTGAAACTCCACCATAAGAGTCATATCTGTCCCGTCTATAGATATTATAATCTTTAATATTAATATTATCATCGTTATCTAACCATGTTTCACTTAGTATGGCTATGTGTATTTTTTCTTTTACCAAAAGCTCCCCAAGATCTATCAATTTTGGTTTCAAACTTTGTGTATTCCACTGTAATATATTAATAGCGATATTTTTGTTATTTGTACTATCCATTATTCATATAATTTAAAACTGTTTCATAAATTTTTCGTCCTGATATTAAACTACTCACAAATGTTTTGATTACTTTAAAAATAGCCATGAAAACCGCAATAACTTTATGCTCTAATCTTTTTCTAGAGTACCAAATAGAATGAATTTTTAATAAGAGTCCCTTAAAATCAAATGTTTTTTGTCTTATTTCTTCTTCATCTGAAGTACTTTTTTGGCTTTCTTCTTCTGCTTCCTTAAACTGCGTATCATTTTCTGTTGTATTTATTTTTTTCCTTCCTTTTCTTTGCCTTTGTTTTGTCTTCTCCTTTTTATTTGTTTCTATGAGTATTGTTCCTTCATCTGAGGCTAATTCTTGATTATTTTCCTTATGAACTTGAGCGTTAGTAACAACCTGACTATAACTTCGAGCTCCACGGTTTTCCAAAACTTGTGTCGGCTGTTCTGTCATCTCTTGATTGACAAAAGTATCTTTAGAGTGTATATTTAAGTTATTGCTCATTTCTATTTGATTTTTATTTATAATCATCTGAAGAGCTTTTCTATAAGGTATATTTTCCTTACTCATAGTGATACGTATTTCTTTTTCTTTGAGATACGTAGGACATCTTTTATCTAAAACGAAATGTAATCCTTTACAATTGAGGCACTTGTATGTTTTTAGATCACAGTTTATGTGTTCCGTACTACCACATTTAGGACATAAAATTTTTTTTAGTCGGGCATACTTTAATAATATGTCCGAATTTCCAGCATCCGGTACATTGTGTTACTGGAAAAGTGTAGTTTTCCACTTTAAATTTATACTCATATGCCGTGACATAAAGAGGTAAAACAGTGCCTTGAAAGCATATCCTTACAGTTTCACTTTCGACCCACTTGCTATTTAAATCAAGTCGTTTAAGTCGTCTTACCGCCAATATTTTGGTATCACTTTTCAAAATTGCTAAAATATCTTGTTCTGTAAACTCCAAATCTACACCTCTAATCAATCCATAAGAAACCGTGGTTTCAAAAGTTTTTTGACATTTGTACTCTAATTCTTGAAATTTTTTACAACTTATTAATTTTTCCGCATCATTTAATAAAAGGGGACTTATATTTGATTGTTTCAATATTCAGAATATTCTCACTTCTTAATACTTTAGCTAACGCCATTTGCTTTGGTAATTCTTTAAATGATGTAACACAAACCTCATATTTAGATCCGATTTCTTTCGATGTTGTATTTTGACCCTGTCCTGTTGAAATACTTCTTAAGAGACGTTGCGGTCTTCTTTTTTCAACTGTCACATAACCATCTTCGCTGTTTGTATCTTCTTCACATGCTTTTCTCTTCTCCGATCTCACTTCAGGCTTTCGAGTTGTGAACCCAGCGTTTGCATGTTCCATTTCAGATTCACGAGTGATTCTTCGATCCTCAATTTGGCTTAGTTCTAATTCACATTTACGTATGATTTCCGAATCACTTTCATCACTTCCATCTATCGATTTATGTTTATCACTATCCATATTTAAACATTGAGGGTAAACTGATAAAAAAACTTTGTATTACGAACTGAGCGGTCTTTGACGTGTGTGTGCCAGACGACAGCTCGCGCAAGACTCCGAACTGACTTATAAGTTGGGAACTAACAACCGTACGAGAGGCTCCAGTGTCTATGGTCAGTTTACACGGCATTCCGTTGACCTCGCCCTTGATGATTAGACTATTCCCATCATGGGTTTGTGAGATCGTGATCCTTGGGGCTCTTTTAACATCAGCCAGCACCCGCCCCGCAATTCTGGTTTTTACTCGTTTCCCTGCTGCTGCTGGGCGGTGCTGTTGGCCGCAATACCCTCCTGAGATCGTTCGCCTTCCCTTTCTATGGTTCGCTTAGGGCAGCTAGATCGAAGATGGCCCTTTTCTCCACAGCCATAGCACCTAGGGCTGTATCCTTTGTTTCGGTCGCGAACTGTAGCTGCTGCAACCTCTCTGACGCGATGGGAACGATGATCCTGCCGCACGGCTTCCACCTCCAGTGCATGGTCCAAGGCGTCCTTAAGCGTCTCGTGGTGCCCAAAGCCTCACAGCAGCTCTGAATTCCAGGTCTCGGATGCCGTCGATGAATGTCTGCACCAGGTTCCCTTCAATGAGCGCAGGTACAGACCGGTATGCTTATCGCACCAGCTTCTCCACCTCTAGAGCCAATGCTGCAGGTTATCGTTGATGCGCAGCACGCGATCTTTAAGCTGCGCACGAAAGACGTGTTCCAGGTTAGCGTCGCCATATCTCGCCTCCAATGCCTCAAGGAGTTGCCCATAAGTCACTTCCTCACCGAGAGCTTCCAGAACTGTTAAGGCCTGGTCGCGCAGGCCTAGTGTGAGAGCAGTCATGACCTGACTTTTATTCCAGCCGTTCGCCTTCATAACAGTCTCGAACTGGATTTTGTAGGCTGACCAGGAAGAAGTCCCGTCGAACGGTGGCACCTTGAACCCACGTAGCGAAGGTGTAGTAGCTACTACGTGAGCTGTAGTTCCATCCCCAAGTTTGAGTTCGTCCAGTGATTTCTTCATGTCAGATATTATGTTGTCAACCCGATTGTTCACTTGGTCGATTCGGGTTTCAGCTTCCGACAGGCGGTTGTCACGTTGAGCAACCTTATCCTTCACCTCCCTTATCTCTTTCCCGAAGGTAGCGTAAATGTCCTTCATGAGGAGCATCTGCTCTTCCTTATCGCGCTTGAGCTGCTCTTCCAACGGATGGGCCTGTTCCTCCTGTCGGCGGGCCTGTTCCTCCTGTCGGCGAGCCTGTTCATCCTGTCGGCGAGCCTGTTCCTCCTGCTGCTCTTTCAACCAACGGGCCTGCTCCTCCTGTCGGCGAGCCTGCTCCTGCAGCATCACCATCAGAGCACCTAAGTCAGGTGCTGCAGATGTAGGAGCTACTGACGGGCCTGCAGCCGGCGGCTGGCCTTCCGACATCTGCGGCGTTCCACCACCAAATCTTCTTTGGTCCGTCTCCTGCTGGCGTTGGCTTTGGGTACGGACACCCTCCGTTTCCACCTTAGGTAAAATCGGCATGATTTATCCCACTTCTGACACCAATTGTTACGAGATTGAGGCTCGTGACAATAAAAATTGCCGATAGAATTACCTAAATTAACACTTTAATTTTCTTTACACAAATTAAAACTTAAAACACCAATAATTAATCACACTGATTCACTTTATTCCGCTCCGAAGCTTCGTTTGTCACGCCAAATTCAATACTTCCCCCGATCGCGTATTGCAGCGCCTCTCCCACACCCCAAACAATCCCGCAACGCAAAACTTCACACCACTCAAGTCATTTTCCTCTCTTCTCCCCCCCCCCTACAATCGGTCTTACACTCAATTCTTCCAACAACCTTTCGTAAAAATGATGCAAACAAAAGTTAAAATAGAGGGGGGGCATACAAAATAATAATTAAAAATATAATAATACATACAAATAAAGATAAGTGAAAATTATATATAAAATATCATATAATAGATTAAATGAAAAGGATACGAGAAAGGTAAATTAATTTATATAATAGCTTTCTAAATAATACGTTTTAACAAGACTTTTGAAAGAGTGAAGAGATCTAGTACGACGAATATGGAGAGGTAAGGAGTTCCACAATCGCAAAGCAGTTACGGTGAAGGATTTCTTGAAAAAGGAAGAAGAGTGCAAATGTGTAGAGAGAGAAAGATTAACGGAGGATCAAAGGAACCGATTATGAGTAAGAGAAAGATACTGGAAACGGTTTTTTAAATAAATAGGCAATCTTTATCTTCTATGGCGTATATAGAGGACACCTGCGTTATAAAGAGAAAAGTCGGTTCCGCCATCCCCAGGCGGTAGTAGCCGGTGTTGTTTCTTTAACCTGTGCGTCTGTTTGATCACATACTATATACAAGTGTTAAACATTGTGTGGTAGAGCCATGTGTTATGTCATCATTGATGTGTTATAGATGCTACTTACTTTATATTATGTAAGTCATATATACTCCTATATTGTTACTCCTAAATTGTTTATTTACTTTAAAACTAAATTATATTATTTACTTACTTATAAACCAAACTAATTAAATTGTAATATTTAAATACTAATATTTATTGTTCCAAAGTTCACCATTCCTAATTGTATCTTAGAATAAGTTAACCATAAACAGAAACAAGTATAATGTTGTTCCCATATCTTTACTCTCACCTCCAAGCTTCCTACTCTATATAAACCAAATCCTTCAATCCCTCAACTGTATCAACTTCTATATTATAAGTAAGTTTATATTATAGTAAAATATATTAAATAAATTTATTTTTAAAAGACTTTTTGTCTCTACCACGTAACAAATTTGGCGCAGTCGGTAGGATCTCGCGTGATTTATTCACTTAAATCGCGTAAAGACGAAGTGAACGTACCAAATTCGACGGGACAACATCTTCTAACAAGAAGACAACGTACGGTAGCAGTTGAAGGATTTTGAAGAACTTTGCCGAACCATGCAGCTCCACATTTTATTGTTATTGTGGTAAGTGGCTAAAGGTGTTTGTTCAAATTCCTATTATCCATTTTTACCAAAATATTTTCCTACATCTACCACCTCATTCACAATATTTTTTTAAACATAATCATACTATTTTGTTATATACTACTATATATTACTATTCCATTATATCAATTATTCATTGCCTGTGTAAAACAATCTCAAAGGAACCCTAAGATGGCCTTAGAACATCACTGTTTCGGGTACGGCAGATGTTCACAGTAAAGAACATGCTTCGTAGACAGACCTTAGGATATTCCTTATTGAAAAATTCTATAACGTTAAAACCATAGTACACCTTAACCTTGAACTATCTATGTTCCAAAAACAAACAAAAACGCTAACCGAATATTTTCACCAAGTCGAGCTTTGTCGCACTAAAATAATTGAAAAGATAAATGCCGAAATATGCGATAAGACGTTATTAGGTCGCTTAGCGACAACGGAGGAAACGGCTCTTAACGTTTTTGTTAATTACATTAGCTCCGATATTGGAGCAATGCTTAGAACAAAAGAATATCCTATCCTTTGCGAAACAGGCAAATTCATACTTCAAGAAGATCAAATTCGTGCAAAGAACAAAGCTAGGCAATCTTTATTTAAGCTAAACATAACGCGTCCACAACCTTTTACAAAACCACCATACCATACCCATAATTATAATAATAATAGCAATGTAAATAAGCCTTTAAGTCAAATCCATCTACCCTTTATCACCAACAATAACGCCAACACACCGCATCAAATCACGAAATTATGTAGCTATTGTAAAAATATTGGACATAATATTACAGAATGCCGTAAAAGAGCTTACAATTACAACTTCAGAAATATTAAAACTCAACGTTCACTTCTTGCGCCTCCTATCCCAGTTAATCATTTAAACTAACAAGCGACCAACGAGATGAGCAACTCGCTGTAAATCGCTTCGGTATCCTGCTCACTGATCTCGACTCAGGATATCTAGAACATAAAACTATGAATTCTAGCAAATGAAATACTATTTCTCGAAGACGTCCTCAACCGCTAAATCGTCGAAATCACTACGCAAATAAACAGTGTACCTTCTGAGTCACCGTTTAAGTGTCAGACATAATTAAAAAATGTGTCTACACAAACTAGCGACTTAGAGTAACGTGTGGTACACACATCACTCAGTGTTCACAAATACTATTTCTCAAACGGAAACCTACGGATAGGTTAGCTAGATCCAAGCCCTAGGTTTTTCAAAACAAGCTATTCTTCTTCCTTCTTCTTCTCAGCTTCTACATCCACTGACTCTATTACTACTTTCTCTACAACATTCACTCACTCTCTCTAGACCACTGCACCTACTATATCCACTGATTCCACCAAGACCTCTACACCTTCTAAATTCACAAATTCCACTGTTTCCTATAAACAACGTTCGAAATCAAAACCTAAAACTAAAAAACCTGAATTAAGACTTCCTAAATTCAAATCTCAACCGAAATCTAAAAAACCTAAAAAACTAAAACTAAAAAACCTGAATCAAGACTTCCTAAAACTTCAAATCTCATCCGAAATCTTTTGCCATATCCGCCTTAAATTAAGTACCACCCGATAATCTCTTACACTGCACTTTTTACGTAGAAAGCAAACCAGTCACATTTCTCATAGACACCGGAACAGGGATCTTGGTTATAAAAATAGGATAAAATAGGTTCGTCACCCTTACAAAATGTAAGGTACACAGGTGGGATAGCACGCAGCCTTTTGGAACATCAGCATTAATAGGCTTGCAATCGGAGCTTGTACCGTCCGCAACGACCTTGATGCCCCGATCTGCAAGAAAGCTGGCGATCCAATCGCATAATTTCTCGGGAAGCCCATAGGAAGGGAGCTTCGAAAGAAGCGCTTTGTTCCAAACCCGATCGAAGGCCTTCGCAATATACAAACTAACGGCCAATGCCTCCCTCTTGGACTCTACTGCCTCCGCC